GGCTGATTCACACGACAAGGGATAGGGATCGGAACCTAGGACAGTCGTCGAGATGGCAATCTGCCGATCGCACGTCTACCTTCCGCACACGCTCTCTCTCTCTCTCTCTCTCTCTCTCTCTCTCTCTCTCTCTCTCTCTCTCTCTCTCTCTCTCTCTCTCTCTCTCTCTCTCTCACACACACACGCACACACACACTCTCTCTCTCTTACACACACACACGCGCGCGCGCGCGCGCCTTGGATGAACGAGATCAGTGCACAACGACGGACCGAGCAAGCACCCCCATCAGACCTCCGCTCACACAGGATATCAGTCAGCTCAGATTGTGGCCTTGCCGCAGCAACCTACGACATCAACCATACCCATCACTTCCATCACCTCTCCATTCCACCCCCCCCCCCCCCTCCCTTCATTCTCCACCTCCTTCCCTCTCGCCCCTCCCCTCTCTCGATTCCGTCCCGGCGGAGTATTGCGGAGGAACGACTGGCACAGACGGATGACGACATGACAAAGCCAGGGAGGCCAAAAGCTGACGACGAGTCGGCGGTTGCGCTTGCTGCAAAGAAGGCACACTACTCACAAGACACAACCATCAGCACGTTGCGCAACTTTCTTCTGTTCAATTTCCTCGCCGTAGTAGCCTTGGCCGTGGCTGTGAGATTATCCGCAACAGCGACGACGACGACGGCGACGACGACGACGAGTCGGACGACACGAACGATAGCGATGGCAGGTGAGATAGGCAATGCGATCACCATTCCGCCGGTGTTTGTGGGCCATGGCGGAGGCCCGTGCTTCTTCATGGAGGATACGGGAATGATGAAGGGCATGGGTAGGGGATCAGCGGTGGCCAGATGGTTCCAGGGTCTCATGGACGAGTACTACACTGATGACGAGCGGGCGGCCATCAAGGCTGTGGTAGTCGTTTCGGCCCACTGGGAGCACAAGGCCAATACCGTTGGTGTCTACCGCGTTGACGGCCCAAACTCGCTGCTCTTCGACTACTCAGGCTTCCCACCCCACACATACCAGCTGACCTACCCGGCGCCAGGTGATCCGGCCCTTGCCGACCGAATCCTCGACCTGCTCGACGCCCATGGCCTCGCCGGCGAAGCAGTTTCCGATCGCGGCCTGGATCATGGCGTCTTTGTCCCTCTCAAGCTCATGCTGCCAGAGGCCGAGCTGCCAGTTGTCCAAGTCTCGCTCCTGGGCTCCCTCGACGCCGAGGCCCACCTTGAGCTTGGCGAGGCGCTGGCGCCGCTGGCCGACGAGGGCGTCCTCATTGTCGGCTCCGGCTTTGTCACCCACGGATCGTCGAAGAAGGCCCAGACCGAGGCCTTTGAAGGCTGGCTTACCACCACCCTGAGCGACGAGTGCGCCTCCGCCGACCATCGCAAGGCCGCGCTCATCGATTGGGAGTCTGCGCCGTTTGCCCGCCGCGCCCACATCCGCGAAGAGCATCTGCTTCCGGTCCACGTCGTTGCCGGCGCCGCCGGCTACATCCCGGCGGAGAGGATCCAAGACTATGTGTGGAACATGGGCCGGTCTGCCGGCTCGATGGCGTCATACTTGTTCCGTCGGTCGTAGTCGGCAATAAGTGTGACGTTTGCGGCGGCGGCATCGGCTTTTCGCGAGTGCGACGCCCGCTTCGACTGCGCGCCTCGGCACCACTCCTCCCGCACATCATCGAGCAACCGTCGACACAAGATAAACCACCACCTAACAACATGTCTGCATCGATGCCTGCCCCTGAGAGCTCGGATATGGTGCCGCCGGAGGCGCGCGCCACTGGCGTCAAGCTCTCCTTCGACGGCAGGGTCGCCCAAAAGTGGCTTCCGAACCTGACCTTTGAGGCTTTGCACGACCTCGCCAGGAACCGGTTCGCTAAGCTTCGTGATGCCAAGTATGTACTGACCACCCACAACAAGTCGGGAGAGATCCGGCTGCTCGAGTCGCAGCTCGATCTTGACCACCTGAACTATGTCGTCGGCAACGGCGTCATCAACATCGCTGTTCTCTCACCGCCGCCCAACCCGCTGCCCCGTTGCTCCTTCCCCGCTACTCGAAGGTCCGACTCGCAGCTGAGCTTGAAAAGCACCGAAAGGAGGCGGCAGAAGCTGAGATGGCAAGTGCGGCCCGCATCAAGGAGCTCGAGGCGAAGCTTGAGGCGGTGCTCGACGCCGAGCAAGCTGCAGAGGCATGTCGCGAACATGTCAAGTCGCTCCAAGCCCGGATCGTGCAGCTGACCACCGAGCTGGAGTCAAGCGCTGCGGCCGAGGCGGTGCAGACCACAGCAGCAGAGCTGGCGGCCAAGGCTGACCAACTAAACCGCGACCGCATCGCCTTTGAGCAGCGTCGCAAGGCCGAGCTGTCGGCGATCGACCGCGCAAGGAACACGGTGCCCGACAACCGGCAGCTGGCAGCGCGCATTGCGTCGCTGGAGGAGGATGAAGCCAGGATCGGGGCCCGCTGGCTGGAGATTGAGGCTGCCGAGAAGACGCGGCTGGCGGCGGCCGAAGCGATGGCGGACGAGATCCGCAAGCGAGCCGAGGCCGACGCCCGCACCATTCGGGCGCAGGCCAAGCGAGACACTGCGCTGCAGTGCATCGAGTACGAGGGCAGCCAGGCGGCACGGAGGGCGGAGATCACGAGTCTCGAGCAGGTGGTTGCGGCGCAGCGCGCGGCGCTTGAGGCGCAGCGCGCCGAGCTTGCCCATCTTCGGGCCCAGCTCGCCGACACAGACTCTGACGACGACCTGCTTGAAAGCGTGTGCTCGTCCGATGCCTCGTCGATTACAGACTCGGGGTGGTCGCTCTCTCGGTCGGGCTTGGGCATCGAGTCGGAGACCGACGACGGCGGGTGCGAGTGGAGCATGATCTCCGAAGACGTGGCGGTCTCCGATCTTGACGCGTCTGACTTGCCTCACATGCTCAATGTACCCAACGAGTCAGATGGCTGGTCAACGTTGCTCCTCGCTGGTGGTATGGATGCCAATGTCGATGCCAACGACGCTGCCGCCGCCGACGACGAGTGAGAGACGGCAAGCCGGCGAGAGCGGGCGAGCGACGCAGAGAGACGACACACTTACGGCCACAGCCAGGGCGGCGATAAAGCCTGGGAGCTACTACGAGGCAACCAAGCCGAGAGATTATGGGTATGCCCGTGTAGCTCACAGCATGACATGACCAAAGGTAAACAGTAATAGTTCACAGAAAGGCTCTTTGGCATGTGCGAGGACAATGTGCGTAAGTGGGCAAGTGGGCAAGTGGGCAAGTGGGCCATCCGAGGCAATGTTCCAAAAAGTGCTTCCACCGACAGCACACGCGCGGTTTAGCCAGAAGGCAGGGGAAGGCAAGCAAGGGCATCACTTGACTCTGGCTGTGACAAGGGAAAAGGAGGAAGGGAGGAAGACAAGAAAGATGTCTGGATGTGGATCGTCGTCACCGGCACCGCCACCTAGTGTGCTTCCTACGGCCCAGGCAAGCCATGTTCGCCTTGTGTACGGCAAGAAGAACACCACGGCCGAGGTGCCCAACTTGACCTTGGACGCACTTCATGCCATTGCTCTGGGCAACTTTCACAACGTAGATCCCGAGTCGATGGTTTTTTCGCTGCAACTGGCTCTGGCGAGATCAGCGCTCTCGAGTCACAGGTTGATCTCGACTACCTCAACTATGTTGTTGGTCGCGGAGCCGAGCTCGAGATCCTCGTCTTGTCGCTGACATCCGCTCGCGCTGCCTCGGCTTCTCCGCTCCTCCCGCCGGGCCATTTGTACAAGGTCTCGGCGGTGACCGCCCAGCTTGAGGATGAGCTTGCGGCAGCAGTGGCCGAGCGCGATGCGCTTGCTTGCGACCGCGAGACGGCGGCCAACGAGCGCGATGTGGCCATTGTGCGGGTGTCGGAGCTCGAGGCGGCGCTGCACGCGGCCGAGGATGCCGCGCGTGACGAGATGGCTTCGCTGCGCGAGGTCATCGACATGCAGCGAGCCGAGGTGGCCGAGCTCCGGCGGGTGGTGGCGCAGCATCAGTCGGAGGCAGCCTCACTGCGAAACATCATTGCCAACGTGGCGCAGGTGCAGACCGAGCGCGAGGAGACGGTGGCGCGGCTGGAGGCCGAGCTTGCCGAGGCGCGGGCGGCGGCGGCGACCGAGCCGGCGCTTCCGAGCCCGACAACGATGGCGGCGCAGGCGGAGCAGCTCGAGGCGCGGCGGGCGGCGCTGGAGAAAGAGAAGGTGGCACTCGACCGTAAGCGGGCGGCGGTGAACCAGCTGCAGACTTCGCTGGCGAGCGAGTGCAAGCGGGTTGCTGACCTGGAGCGGGTGATGCTCGCGCGCGACGCGGAGCTCACGACGCGCGAGGAGGCGCTTGAGGAGCGTGAGGCGGCGGCAGCAGCGCTCGAGGCCGAGCTGCAGGCGCAGGAGAACGACCTCGCGCTGCGGGCCAAGGAGTGCGAGACGGCGCGCGCTGCGTTTGAGCACCAGCGGGCTGCCGAGTACAAGGCACTCAACGAGGCCAAGCTGCGGATCACCGAGGAGGCGTCGCGACAGTCGGCCAAGACCGAGGCTGCGTGCAAGGAGGCGCTGGCGCGGACCAAAGCCGAGATCAGCGAGCGCCGGCGGCAGTTTGACCAGTACGCCCGTGAAGTGAGTGCTTCGGCGGCGGCCAGCTCGGAGTCGTCGGACATGGCCCGTGCCCAGATTGAGAGCCTCGAGGTGGCGTGCGCCGCACAGCGTGCGGCGACGAATCAGCTGCGAGAGGAGAACGCTGCGCTCCGCGCGCAGCTCGACGAGTGCCGTGCGCGGCTGGCAGTCGACGCCGACGCAGATGCCGACGACTCCGAGTCGGAGCTCTCGATCTCAGTGGCATCGTCGATCGGTGTGGCGTCGTCGACGGCGTCAACTCACAATGCCGATGTCTCGGACGTTGAGGAGGTGACGGTTGCCGACACGCTTGCTGTCGACGCATCAATTGCCGAGTCGATCGCCGACATTGCATCGTCGTTTGAGATGGTCAAGGCGTCAGACCTGCCCGAGACCGGCCCGGCGCAGAAGCCAACCGGCTGGCTTTCATCCTTCTTCTACTACGACGCTGCCGAGCCGGAGACCGGCGACGTGTCCTCGCCTGCTGCCGCCGCCGCCGCCGAGGCTGTGGCGGTCCTCGCGGCGTCGACAACGTCGACCACGAGCGCAGCCTCTAGCGATGGAGCCGTCGATGGCTCCCCTGCCGAGTCGTTTGTGGAGGTTGATGCGGACGTGGATGCTTCGCTCCAGTGATCGCCCGGACAGCCGGCGGAAGCGTCGTCGTTGGCGTTCATTTCTTTCTTTCTCACACACTCTTCACATCAATACACGCGCACACGCACAACGCACACGCGGCTCCACATCATTACCAACACATTTAAGGCAAGGAGACGTCGCCGAGTCCATCAGTCCCAAACCACCTCGATGGCAAGGTCGAGGAGCCAGCACGAGGCCGCGGTGGCGAGAGGCGAGTAGCCCCATGCAGTGAAGAGGACAAAGGCAATGGGCGCGATCATACGGAGGCCGGTCAGGTGCCAGACCGCGCTCCAGGCATGGGCAAGCTTTGAGCGCTCTGCAAAGGAGACAACCATGTCGGCGTCGCCAGCAGCAGACTTGGCAAAGGCATCCTCGCGAGCCACTTCGCGCGGCGAGGCGGCCCAGAAGGGGATGCCTGTTGACGGCAGGTCCGCGAGCGAGGCTGAGAACCAGACCATGCCGAGGATCTCAACGACGACGACGACAAAGACAAAGAGCACGGTGTGGTGCTCGTACATGGCGCGAAAGTAGACCGAGATGGCGATGACGACGAGGGCAGCGAGGAGGAAGCCCGTAGTCACGGCGCGGACCTTGCGGCTAGTGGCAAGGTAGGCGCTACGAAGGTTGGGCGGGAGTGCCGAGCCCGACAGCGCACGTTCCAGACGGGCGGTGTACGACTGGACCGAGCCCATGACGACGAGGAAGATCGGCAGATGGTAGATGGTCAGGTGGGTGGCACGGACGATGGCCTCGTTGACGTCGTGTGAGCGATCGAGGTCGCCGGGCGGCGCAAAGTCGTCAGGCCTCGCCGGGAGAGCGATGACGGAGCGGAGGACAATCAGAGCCCGGACAGCGGCATAGATGAGGAGAATGGCCCGGATGGCGGCGCGCTGGACCGGAATGCGGGCAAGCAGCGACCGCGGCCGGTCGTACGCCGTCGGCTTTCTACGGCCGGGCGCAAAGGCCGCCACAAAGACCACCCAGTAGAAGAAGACTCCGTCGAGCAGCAGCAGCAGGCCAAGTCCTGCCGCATTGCTCTGCCCAGCGCCTCTGCTTGCTAGCAGCCGCCTGCCCAGTGACTCGGTCCAGGTCATGTGTGAGGGGTGAGGTGGCGGAGGTTCGGGGGATAATCGTTGGTTGTTGGGGGCGATTAATCGTTGGCTAGTGGGGGGGGGGGGGGCGGATTAATCGTTGGATGTTGAAGCAGTATTCGTTGGTTCGGTTCGACGAGCGGGCGGGCGAGCGAACGAACGAGCGAACGAACGAGCCAACGGGAACGAATGGGTCGTCCAGCTTAACTCCCCAACACTTCTGCCAACTCTCTCCTCTCCCAATCAACATGGTACGTTGTTGACGGCCAGAGCAGGCCATTTCGGGGGTATAGAGACTGTAGACATGCTGCATCTTGGCAAAGTGGTAGCAATGGAGGCATACACTCTATACACGAGTTACCTACCTCCTTCTCGTCGCCTCCTTTGCCTAGGACCCGCTGCTGTGGCCTTGCGCCGACGTCCTCGGTCCGACTCGGAAGGAGGGAGTTTTTGGCTCATCACCCTCGCCGACCCCTGCCTCCACCCGCACTACTCCCTGCCCTACCGCACGGACCCTACACACAATCTCCCTGATACCCAGCATATGTGTAGTGCGCTGTGCGCTCTCCCTGCCCTCTTCATTTCATCCCCATCCGCATTCTCCTCGCCCCACACGAGCCCCCGTCGTCGTCGTCTGGATTGTATGCATTTTTGCCGACGTCCAGTGCGTCCCATCCCCGCAAGGGACACACACACCCATACCACATCCACCACACGCGCACACACGCACGCACACACACGCACGCACACACACACATACACCCCTAGTCGTGTTGTGTCTGTTCATGTCCGCCCCATCCCCCGCTGGTCACATGTCGCAGACTGGCGCGGGCCAGCAATGGGCCACCCTACCACCCCCACCCACCCCCCCACCCCCCCCCACCCCACACACACACACCCTTCACACACTCACTCACACTCGCTTGCTTCTCGTGCCCGTAGGACGCTGCTGCTGAGACCGCTATCAAGCACGCCAAGGTGACCAAGATCCTCGGCCGCACTGGCTCGCGCGGTGGTGTGACCCAGGTCCGCGTCGAGTTCCTCGACGACAACACCCGGTCCATCGTCCGGAACGTCAAGGGCCCCGTCCAGGAGGGTGACGTCCTTGCCCTGCTCGAGTCGGAGCGTGAGGCCCGCCGTCTTCGCTGAAGAGTCTGGCAGACATAAAAAGAGCAAGCCCTATCTTATCTGACCTCTCCTTGCTCCCCTCCCCCCCCCCCATACGCACATCCACACCCACACCCACTGCTTCGATGGCCACCTGAGTGGACACACTGCCTTCCTCACCTGCAATCAATCCTCCCCTCTTTCCCTTGCCCCCCCCACCCCAATCTCCCGATCACCCTGCACTGGCCAAATCCGTTGCTCAACCGCAGGCACGAGTGCCACCACCTCCCTCCCCTTCCCACTACCACCTCAAGCAGGCACACCACTCTCGGCTTGTACTGCTTGCGGCTGCTCACCACTTGCATGCTGGACGAGGACCACGACAGGTCTCATGGTAGGTTGTGGCGGTGGGCAAGGGAGGCGGCTGCAAGAGGGGGGAAGGGGATAGGGGGATCCGAGCGACGGGCTTGACCACGGCTGCTGGTCGTCTCGCTGACGGGATGGAGGTCCGATGGACTGCCTGTGGTTGGACCGGGGAGGAGGGGGGAGGGGGTGGAGAGTGAGAGGTAGAGGATCTGCATGCAGGTGGCAAAATTACGAAAAAAAAAGAGGGATGAAAGAGACTCATTTCTCGGCGCGATGGGTACGGGCACGATGTGGGCCGGGAGGGGAGAACAGGGATCTTCTTCCCTAGAGACATCCGGCTGTGGGATCAGTGCAACGTAGAAGCGTTTCTGGACTTGCATGGCGCCACGCGGTTTGTTCCTGCCCTCTTGGCTGCGGGCTTTACAGACGGCCCCGCCTTGGCTACCTTGGATCTACACACGCTCGAAGGCGCAGGTGTGAACGATCCGCGTGCACGGATCGCTTTGCTGCGGGCGGTGTACGTGGCGGCCGGCATGCATGATCAGGTTCTTGTGCTGGATGAGGTGCTCGCACAGTCAGGGCTGGCCCTCGACTGCAAGGCTGGCGAAGTGACGCTGATTCGAACAGCAGACGGGCGGGTGAAACGGCGGCGCCGCCGCCGCAAGCGAGCGTCGCCCGGGTGCGAGCCCAAGCACGACGTACCGCAGCAACCGCGCCGCCTTGGGCCCAAAGCGCTCGCCCGCGCCATCGCTCCGCCCAACTCGGATCAGGCGCTGCAGTATCTGCTCTCGCCGTTTGAGTATGCCCAGTTTCTCGAGTGGCGTGCCGGTGGTATGCAGAGCGGGAGTGGCGGAAGCGGCTTGCCCGGGGGCGAAGGCGGCGTATCTTTGGACGGCGCTGCAAGAGGTGGCGGGAGTCATCAGGGAACTGGCACCGGCGGAAACGGTGGGAGCGGCGAGAGCGGCGGGAGTGGCGGGAGTGGAGGTAATGGCAACGTCGATGCGGACGAGCTCGACGAGTTTCGCCGTTGGAAGGCGGGTCGAGAGACGGGCGAGGGCAGCGCGGCGCCGCAGAGCGCGCGGAGGGCGGCAGTGCGGGGTGGCATGGCTGGGACCAGCGCTGAGAGCAGCGCCAAGATACACGCCAAGACTGAGGTCAAGAGCCACAAGTCGGGCGGGGCGGTGGGCGAGGCCAAGAGCAGCAGTGCGCCGGCTGGCGGCGCACCAGCTGTCGGCGCATCAGCTGGAGCGAGCCCGCCGCCGCCACCGCCGCCTGGAGGAGCGCCGCCGCCGCCGCCGCCACCGCCGCCTGGCGGAGGCCCACCTCCACCGCCGCCGCCGCCTGGAGCGCCTGGGGCGCTTCGCAGCGCCAAGAAGAACGTCAAGCCCAAGTCGAAGATGCGCGAGATTTACTGGGCAAAGCTGCCGACCAAGGCGATTGCAAACACGGTGTGGTCCGAGCTCGACGACGAGCAAGTGAAGCTGGACGTGGACGATTTGGAGGCGTACTTTAAGGTCCTTCCCCCCGGCGCCAAAAAGGCTGCGCCAGAGGCCATCGGGAGCGGACCGAAGAAGGTGTCTGTCATCGGCAAGCAGCGGGCAACCAATGTGGGGATCATGCTGGCACGGTTGAAGCTCAAGCCGTCTGCGCTCAAGGCCATGTTGCTGAGCGGCGATGACGCGGCGCTGACAGGCAACAACTTGCAAGAGCTGGGCAAGCTCATGCCGAGTGCGGAAGAGCGCGAGGTGCTGTCGATGTACGACGGGCCAAAGAAAGCGCTCGAGTCGTCCAACTTGTTCATGCTCGAAATGATGTCGATCCCGCGGTTTGACGAGCGAATCCAGGTTGCGGTGGCGCGACGTGAGGTGGCGCCGCTTTGCGCCGACGTGCGCGAACAGCTGGAACTGCTGGGCGCCGGCGTGGGTGTTCTCCGCGACTCGGACTCGTTCCGGCGTGTGCTGGAGATTCTGCTGGCAATCGGCAACTACTGCAACGGCGGGACGGCGCGCGGTGGAGTGTACGGCTTCAAGCTCCACTCGCTGACCAAGATCGTGGACGTGCGGTCGACGCGCGATCGGACGACGCTCATGGACTACCTGGTGCACTACCTGGAGGAGCACCACGCCGAGTGGCTGGCACTGGGCCAGGATCTTGCGGCGGTGGTGCCCGCAGCCAAGGTCTCTGTCTCGTACGTGCGGTCGCAAATGGAGTCAATCCGGCGGCAGCTGGCGCTCGTGCAGGATGAGATTGACCAGGCCGAGGCGGCGAGCGGCGACGAGGCCGAAGCGCCCGAGTACGTGACCTTGCTCCGCGAGTTTATCCACGATGCAAACACGCGGTTCTCGACTGTGGTGGCGCTTGCTGACGCCACGCTTGCCGACTACGAGGCCGTCGTCAAGTTTTTCGGCGAGAACCCGCGGACGACCAAGTCGGTCGACTTTCTGGGCTCGGTCGCGTCATTTGTAGCAGCGTTCTCGGCGTCTGCGGCGCGGCTGGCGGCGAAGCGGGCGCGCGAGGCGTCGCGGCTGGAGCGAACCAAGTCTGTCCACGACACTATGGCACTGCGGGAGATGGCGCTGCGAGCACAGCGCTCGTCGTCGTCCAACGTGCTTGGCGACGGGGCGGGACCATCGACGGCGACGCCAGCAGACGGAGGCGTGTAAAGAAGGGAGGGAGGCCGTGGTATGTTCACTCGTGGAGGCGCAGAGGGGGGGAGGAGAGAGTCAGGGAAGAGGTGGAAGGGGAAGGGGTGGATAGGTGCAGAGGGAACGCGGCACGGGTGGCGACGGTGATTAGGGCGGGGGCGGCGGCGGCGGCGGCGGGCCGGACGGCGGCTTGGGCGCCGAGCCAGGCGGCGGCGGCGGCGGCGGGCCAGGCGGGGCCTTGGGCGCATCCGAAGACGACGACGAGTCAGTTGACGAGTCGGTCGACGAGGAGGAGGCGGCCGGCGGCGGCGGCGGTGGCGGCGGCGGGCCACCGCTGCCACCTGCCGGTGGCGGCGGAGGCGGAGCCGGCGGCGGGGCAGCGGCAGGGATAGCATCACCGGACGACTCCATGTCGCCCGAGGACGACGAGTCAAGGCCAGTCGGCGGCGGGCCCGGCGGCGGGCCCGGCGGTGGCTTGGGCGAGTCGTTGGCAGGTGCGGCGGCGGCCGGCGACGCGTCGTGGGGAGTGTCCAGGATATTGAAGCCAGTGTTGGCGGCAACCGGGTCGAGCTCGACCATGTTGCCAAACTCGTCAAGGCCGATAGCGTGCGAGTGGTCGGTCATCTGAGTCCCGTCGGCGGTGATGAACATCGAGTCGTCGTCGCCGGCGTAGGTCGGCGGCTTGGAGCCACCACCCGCGCCCTTCTGCAGCAGCAGATGACAATGACGATGA